CTGAGTTTCTTAAGGCCTTGCTTTTGCTGAGGCTGGCTTTGAACTCTACAATCCTCCTGCCTCAGCCTCCTGGCCACTGGCCACTGGGTTTACAGGCATGGGCCACTGCACCTGGCTCTTTCTTCCTTTCTTTCTTTCTTCCCTCCCCTCCCCTCCCCTCCCCTCCCTTCTCTTCTCTTCTCCTTTCCTTTTTTCAGTTTAAATTCAGATCCTCACACATGCCGTGCAAGCACTCCACCCTGAACTATATCTTCAGCCCTTTCTTTAAAGGCAGAAACTAAGAAAGTGGTCTTCCAATTAAGTGAAAGTAAATAGGTCATTTGGATGCTTGGTTTGGGGGCTATTTGTGAGGGGTATGAGGCATCAATCTGAGGAAAAGACATGGATTCAAGGAAAAAACTGAATTGCTGATGCAGTGAGTGCCCTTTGTGTGCTAAAGATTATTTATTTATTTATTTTTATTTATTTTTTTGTGATGCTGGGGATCAAACCCAGGGCTTGGAGCTGCTGCCAGGCAAGCACTCTACCATTGAGCCACATCCCCTGCCCTGAAGGTGTAAAATTCTTTACAGAATTCCATTCATGACTTAAAGTGGGTTGGGATCAGATACATATCCATCTTCTAGTTTGCAGTATCTGATATGCATGAGCAGGGACTCATAATGAAGATGACTAGTTATTTTTATTGCATCAATTCATAGTTCCTATAAAACAGTACTTATTTATTTTTCTTTTGAGAGAAGAATTCTAAAATTGAGTAGAGATAAATGGGCATATATCTGTGATTTTATTGACTTCTGTTTTCTTTGCTACTGATTTATCTGTAGTTTTTCTCTATTTTGTAGTTATTCGTTGCTCCATGCTTCAAGAAAAACATTTAGCAATGTCAAAGTTAGTATCTCCAAGCAGTGGACCCCAAATGCTTTTAACACAACACTTGAGTTGCCTGTAGAGGTAAGTGGAGCCAGTGCTGGGAGGGACTTAGAGAAGGGACAGAACTTAAGTCTTCTTAAGTTCTCTCTTGCATTGTTTACCTGAAACAGCTTATCCTGTCCTAGGGAGTCCAATCCAAACTGTCTGCTGATTTCAAAGCCTGCTCTGATTGGTCTGTTTTACCAAGCCAACCCTTATCATATGATTCTGGGAAGGCTGTTTTTTTCATTGAGTTTTACAAGTACTGGTTATGTTTCTACTTTTGAGATTTTGCATATTATCTTTTATATATACACTTTTACCTTTTCCACCTACTTAGATTTTGCCTTTCTTTCTTTCTTTCTTTCTCTTTCTCTCTTTCTCTTTCTTTCTTTCTCTCTCTCTCTTTCTTTCTCTTTTTCTCTTTCTCTTTCTCTCTCTCTCTATCTCTCTTTCTTTCATCTACCAGGGATTGAACTCAGGGGCACTTAACCACTGAGCCACACCCGTAGCCCTATTTGGTATTTTATTTAGAGACAGGGTCTCACCCAGTTGCTTAGCGCTTTGGTAAAATGCTGAGGCTGGCTTTGAAATCGCAGACCTCCTGCCTCAGGCTCCCAAGATGCTGAGATTATAGGTGTGTGCCATTGCCTGGCTCTTTCTTTTTGTAGTAAGATAAAAATGCCATTTTCCCCCCACTTTTTTTTTCTAGCTTCATATTTTTCCCTTCTCTGAAGTCCTGTATGCTATTATATAGTTTAGTATTTAAGTATTTCCCAGTTCTTTGATGTTTTTGTATCTTGAAGTTAGGAGTGTGTATCCCAGTTCTTTATATTTGTTCTGGACTGGGAAAATCCTCTGATACCTGTTGGAGACTCATATGCTGTCCTTTATAGTGCCCTTTCTCAATACACAGATCCACCCAATGTTTATCACATTTCTTGATTTTTACTTCTGTGGAATTATAGATGTCCTATTAATGTTGTTAGCATGTTTTATATTTAGAAATTATTTCCCCTATTGGGACACATTCAAAGTTAACAGAGGTTTGAGGGTGACAGGAATATCTTCCAAAGTGTAAATACGCTCGCTACTCAGTCAATTGCTTACTGAGTGATAGTGTTATGTAAACACTGTCCTAAGCAGTGAGGTATAAAAAAACATAAAATCCTAGAAGGTTGAGCTGTGGTTGTAGCTCAGTGGTAGAGCACTTGCCTAGCGTGTGTTTGATCCTCAGCACCACATAAAAATAAACAAAGGTATTGTGTCCATCTGCAACTAAAACTATTAAAAGAAAAATAGAAGCCTAGAAGATTGGAAAGGAGACCCTGATGAGTCTTTATGCTAGTGGAGGTGCTTCCTTGCTGTTCTTCTGGATTTAAGTTATCAGTCACTTTTTAAGGAAATGAGTTGAGACCAGAGGGTTAGATTGCAACCTGAGTCTAAAAGACTAAACTTACTTGTCAGATGTATTTGTTTAGAATCACAAATTTCAAAGGTGAAAGAGGTCTTAGGAGAGGTCATGGACCCTCTGCTCCCCATTGTTATTTTGTCATTGTTGAAGGATAGCTGCCTAGTTTTTGCTTTAATACCGCTGGGGAGAAGAAATTTTCTGCTTTCTGAGATGGTCAGTTAATTTTTATTCAGCTGTTTGAAGACAACTCTCACTAAATCCCGAGGTTTCTCTTGTTTAAGCAAAACATCTCTGTCTCCTTCAACCACAGTTTAGTGACACTGAGCACTCAGTGTGGCACTGCAGGTGCAATCTGACCGATATACAGAAAAATTTGATTTGATTTAGATGTTAAACTCTGGTTTTACCGCCTAAGGTTACCTTGGGTTTCTACTTAATTGGGTTGGGGCTCCCAAGACCACTCCCAGGTTTAATGGCTCTGAGGGAGGACTCACAGGACTCAGCATGAAGTGCTCATGGCTGTGATTTATTACACTGAAAGGACACAAAATCGGCAAATGGAAAAGGCCGTGGTGTGAAGTCTGCAGGGAGTCAGGCACAAGCTTCCAGGGTTCCTTTCCCAGGATGTGCTTAATTTTTCTAGCACCAAGCTGTGACAACACATGTGAAGTGTCGTCTACCTGGGAAGCTCATTACAGGCTTGTGCCCAGGGTTTTTATTGGGGCTGGTCACGTAGGCACGCTGTCTGACACATATCAAAATTCCAGGCTCCCAAAAGGAAAGCACGGTTCTCATAAATCATGTTGTTGAGTATAAACAGTGAGCCACTTGTATCGGGATGGTGGGAACCCTTCATAGATCTAAGTTCCCAGATGCCAGCCTGGAGCCAGCCTTGTGAGCCTGCCTGTGTAAGGAGAGTGATCTCAGTCCTGCTGTCTTACTCTTTTCCTCAGTAACCAGTTCACATTATTAACTCTTCTGAAACATGCATTGACTTTTCTGTGGGTACTTACTTACTTACTTTTTTTAAAAATAGTTTTTATTTTTAAAATAAAAATTATTTTAAAATAAAATTATTTTAAATTTTAAAATAAAAATAAAAGCACAGCAAAAAACAAAGTCATACAGTTCCCAAGCAGCTTAGTAGGATGTGTTCCTCCAGGTCGTGTGTGTACATACATACACAACAACCCATTTTGTGTGTCTGAGATCATAGTATGTATCATGCTTTTTCACACATCATGAATATTCACCAATTCAAAATCCCAAAGCTATATGAAAAAAATAAGAATACA